CATTCTAATGATACATGAATCAATGTAGTATGGTAGATATATTCCCAGTGATTTTGACAGGAAATGCAGTTTATGCAGGATTTATTTGTCATAGTTCGGTACATTAATTTTTAAGCTATTTCAAAATTTTTGTTGTTAACGACCAAGCGTAACCAAACTGAACCCTCTTATAAAATTTCTTAGAGCACTGCCGCTTAAACGAGTGGCAAGTAAGAAGTTTGATTCTAATCATATATTTCATAGAAAAGAGAATTATAAAGTAACATTTTGGAAAAATGCCTTTGATGGCGCCGAGAAATAATTCATGATCATGGATTAAAATTAGATTTTTGGAATAAAAGTGACAATCATTCTGAACGGATGATAAATAAGCTAACATTACTTTTTATAGTTTACTGATCTAAAGTACTTATAAGAGAGAAGACTTTCCTTTTGACAGATCCGCTTTTTATCAGGCTAATGAAATTACATGTATTTGGAGAGCATATTCTCTTCTTGATCAGTCACAATTAAATTCTTGCACTATGATCCATTCTATGTTTCATATTATAATTGCTATAAATGATCTAGCTCTGAATAACGATTTATATCATTACAGGTACAAGGATGGTGGCCTTCGATATAGGATTAAAGAATCCCATCTATAATGCCCGGGTCGGAAGCAAAACTGTTTTTGACGATGTTCAATTGAACATTAGAACAGGTTACGATGTATCCACAGGTATATTCACTGCACGTTACTCGGGTGTATACATGTTTGAATGGACCCTAATGACACAAAAGTCCAAAGAAGCGCTCACCATATTAATGGTCAATGGAAAACAAAAGTCCTACAGCCACTGCCGATCTGTAGAGGCATCAAATTACGATGCTTGCAGTAAAATGGCAGTGGTGGAGCTCAAAGCCAAGCAACAAGTCTGGATCCAAGTATTGTATCGACCAGCAAATGTGTTTATTATGTTTTCATCCTTTTCTGGATTTAAGCTTTGAAAGATAAATTTTCTGACTCTCCTAACCTGTGTTCCATAACTTATATTATGCCTCTCAAACGATGTCTACAGCAGGAAGGGGTGGCAAATATATATTGTAATGTTCCACTATATTTTGCCTGAAGATGGTCTTGCAGATGGCTTGGACAAACTTATTGAAAATTCAGAGTATTAATAATCACCAAGTGTAGTAAAGCATGAAAACTGAGAAAGGTCAGCAAAGTGGCACAAGTTATTGCTTGCAATTAAAAGTAAATATTCTAGTTCATAACTCCTACACTGATTTAAATGTTAATGATTTTACAAGGATGCTGTCATGCCATATACAAAAATGGTGCTTACACAAGAGGATGTTATCTGGGGAAGAAAAAAAGTGTTTGGTGTTTGGTTTCATACCTGAATGGACCGTTCACAGTAGCTCAGTCGGTAGAGCGCTCGCTTCATGATCGGGAGGTCGTTAGTTCGAATCTCGGCCGCGACTGACCTAAGTCGATGAAAAATGGGTAGCAACTGTTCCTTCGCCATGCGCTCGGCATTGTGAACTGAAAGTTGCGGGTTCTTCGGATGAGAAGCCCCGTGTCACGGCAGGCGTTGGCACGATAAAGATCCCTCACTGCTCAATGGCGCTGAGTGCCGAGTAAAGGTCAAAATTTGAAGCCCTTCACCGGTTTATGGTGACGTCTCTATATGAGTGAAAAATTCTCGAATGGGACGTAAAACAACATAAAATCCATCAATCAATCCATCATACCTGAATGGAACAATAAGATTATCATAACACAGATTAGGAACTACCAACATGCTATGTAATTTCATTTTTTGCATTTCTGCAACCAAAGACATAACAACAAGAATATCATTCAATAAACAAACTTTAATGAGAATTTAAATATATGTTTATATATTGTTCATCATCAAGAAATGAAAAGTAAAGAGTTTTAAATTCTTTGAGGTGTCAAATCATATCAGAATGCCCTTTTACCGACACATGAACAGTTAACAGTAAACAAGACAAATCTGGAACCAATGCAGACTTACAATATGAAAAGGTTGAAACAAAACCATTCGTTAGTAACACTTCTTTAACCATGTCATACATACAACTCTTTTATAAAATGTTTTATAGAATATATTCAATAACCTCTTCTTTTGCTAATGGGTGTGTATGTAGACAATGTGTTTATAGATACATGTACAAGTATACATGACAAGTGGCACATGTAAGTTTAAGCAGGTATAAAATAGAACACTAAGAAAATTTACATTACAAATTGCCAAAGGTCTTTGAACATAACACTAAACTAAATTCTTACTAATCAAACAGATGAAAACCAATACTTAATTAGTTTTGTGGAATTGTACAAGAATAGTGTGCAAAGTCCAAATAAAACTTCAAATTAAATACACTATTTTTCTCATACTGGGTCTGTTATAAAGCTCAGATCTTTTAAGTACCTGTACATAGACATTTATCATCAAGAGAATATCCTGATGTAAAACAACTGTGTAACATGTATTATCAACAAGAGGCCCAAGGGCCTAAACGGTCACCTGAGTATACATGTAATACAACCCTGAGCAGAGAAGGTTTTTGAAGAAATAATGCATTTTCACGATATAATCAATAGAGCCCCGCCCTGACACCATAAGCCTTGAATTTCACAATTTTGGAAGAGGCAATCTTGCTCTTCATAACCATGACTTAGTTTGTCTGCTATTTATACAATGAGCAGAAAAGATTGTCACAGAAATAATGCATTTTTACTATAAAGTCAATAGAGCCCCCCTCCCCCCAACAGCAGAACCTCTGACCCTGGGGCCACAAATTTCACAATTTCAAAGAAGGCATCCTTGCTCATTTTAACCACGAACTTACTTTATTTGCTTAATACCCAGGAGCAGGGAAGAAGATTTTCAAAGAATTAATGCATTTTCATTATTTAATCAATAGAACCTCACCCTTACATCAAAACCCCTGACCCACGGGCCATAAATTTCACAATTTTGGTAGAGGGCTCAATGTTTATTACAAACAGTTTAACTGCTTGATGTCCAGGAGTAAAGAGGGTAATAAATGAAAATTTGAACAAAGAAAAGTAAACGGAGCTTAGCCATCCCCTATATTTGCTAGATCTCAGCCATTGCGAGATTTTTTTTTCTTATCAAAATGCATGAAAACAATCAAAGGAAGGTTTAACAATTTAAGGTATATCATGGAAAGATTTTTAAAGATTTCATCAAATTTGATGGTTTGAGTCCCACCCCTCAGGCCCCTGGGGGCAGGGACCATGAAATTTATAATTTCTGTTCCCCTTCCCCACAGATGCCATATGCCAATTTGGTTGAAATTGGCTCGGCAGTTGCAGAGAAGCTGAAAATGTTCAAATGGTAACGGACCACACATGATGACGGACAAAAACAGATAGCAATAGGTCACCTGAGTGACTTAGGTGATCTTAAAAGTGTAATACCTGAGAAGTATTTGAAAAAAAAAAAAAATTATTTGTAGCTTCAGCTTATACTTAAGCAAAAGTGATAATACTTAAAGCAATTCCAGCTGTTAATGAACACTGAACTATCTATCAAAATTCTCAGAGCAATCTTTGAAGAAATACTTATTAAAATTCAAGGAATAAAAAAAAGAAGAAAGTCATAGATTGTTCATTTTTCTCTCATCTTTGATAGAAAATAATTGACAAAATCATTGAATATCTTGTATCAAATAATTATGCAAATCCCATTTTTTATTCTTTTTTTTTTTTTTTTTTTACATTTCATACATTTTCAGCATTCTTCATTAGGTTAATTTTATCACAACCAATATATTGCAGTGGAACAAATACAAAATACTGAACCAAGAGCACAGATAATTCAAGCTATAAAATATCCAGAAAAAAAATCTCTAGTAGTACAAATATATACACCATCATTATTTTTTTTACTCTCCATAGTTTTTTTTTTTACCAAAGTTACTTTCACTCACTGAAATTTATTTTGTCTTAAAAAGCCTCTAAAAATGACCTTTCGTTTATTAAACACTAACATAAGTAACATTAGTTACATTTTACATTAGGTATTCCCAAACCACTTGAAATCTCATCTCAATATAACATCACCACAGACCTGCCATCCCCTTTTGATAAAAAGCATAATAAGCCAGGAATTGTGGGTCTGTGGATGCTTCAAACCACTGAGAAGACCTTTATTAATGAAGATAGGCTGGTCAAGTTATGGTTGATTTACTTAGTAAACTTACATGACCCCATATTTATCAACTAGACATACATTTGTCTCAAATATTCATCAATAGTGCTTAACCAAAAGTGAAAACCATTCTCTGATGTACATGTATTAAAAGCTAAACTTCTAACTAAATTTCTGACCATAAAAAGATAAAAACATACAAAATGGCGATTTTAGTATTGAAAGTGTTATGGCATACATGTAATTTAAGAGACAATTTGTAATTATTACGCTAATTAAATCATAATGGTTGGCAAGTCTGCCACCATATACTTAACCCAACTATTATTTGCGACAACACAACTATTATTTGTATCTCAAAAGTTTTCAGTGAGAACCACAAAGATCAAGATTTCTCAGTCTGACTGTATAAACATCTGTCAGTAAAACATTCAGAGAATATCATTTACTGTAGAGACTTCGGAGAATTCTATGTCCTGCAGAGACAGGCACGTTTTTAAACCGATGAATAAATTTCCATAGCAATCATGTTACTGTGTTTATAAAAGTTCTCAATACCTTAAAAAGGATCATTCGCTTTGTTTTTGTTCCTGTGGAATTTCTGATGCTACATTTCTGTATAATACGTTAGTGTTTATTGCACATGGGTCTGCTTTCAGACTTTATATTTTCAAGATATTTTGTACAATTATGCATTACACTTTATAAAAGTGATATTTTTTTCTTCTTTATAATTTTGAATTGTGAATCTCAAAAATTGGTATTCTGTTCACATGAATATAAATCACCATAAAATGTAGATAAATAATTACATAATTATGTACCACATATTGCACAAAAACACAGCTATTATAAAATTGCATCAACAGTTATGAATTGTAGATAAATATATATATATTTCTAACAACAAAATATAATAACATTTTTGTTAGAATCTTATAACTTCATATGCAGATAATAAACAATACTATTAAACAATACCCTTTTCAAATGCAATTTTAACATGTTGATATAGTTAATTTAACAGTGCATATTTCCCATGGTTTAGAGAGCTGGTTTGGCACATGTTTGGAAATTCAAAACTAAAGCAAATCAGAACAACACACAGGAAAGAGAGTGTAATGTTTAAAGCAATGATTTTTAACTGAAAATATTTTCTCCAGTGAATCTGTACAATGAAAATATACATCACTTTCATTAGTACCATTATTTTTTCAATAACATCTTCATATATTTTCATTCAACAATATTTTAAAATAATATACATATATACAATTCTATATACAGTATACACAACTCTTGTACATGTACATTAAAAAACTTTACATGCTTACAATGTAAGATATCACCATTCATCCCTCTAAGTCATCTGAATCATTTATAATAAATATCTGCAATATATAAAATTTATGTATTGTTCTGGTGGGCTACTCCAAGTAAACATATAGTTTGATTAACCATTTTTGTGTGATTGTGATTGCTATAAACAAGAATTCTTATGATTAATGATAATCAATTTTGGGCTACAAGTCTCAAATTAAGAAAAATATGAGGCGTTCAACAACAGGATACATTTTTTTCCTAGCAAAAACTGCCAACCAAGTTATTCTTGGAAAGACTGAAAACAGAAGTCTATGACGGAACTGTGACTCTACTGCTTTGAACCTACCAGTGGAAGAAAAAGGTTGCATTTGGACTTGTACATGTTAAAATTCTAATAACTGTTAACTGTAATGCATACAGTCAAAAGAATCCTGCACTTAAAAAACAAAAGAAGACAAAAATATAACCTAAATAAGTACACAATAAAAGTGTGCTTATTTGCACTTTGATCTAAACTATACCTGAAAAGACAAATGGAAACCAGGTAGGTTCTCTGTTAAACAAAAATCCCACGATCATGACAACATAAACAAACTATAATTTGTGTATGAAATCATGTTACACAACATTTTCCACGTTATATATGATTTCACAAAGCTTTTCTCTAATTTTTTGTCTCTCATGCGGTGACAGGTGTCTCCTTCTAAACAAAGGAGTGTGGATTGGATGGCACTGATACCTGAAAGTCTCCTTGGTAAGAACTATACAATGGCAAGTGAAATATCACTAACATGTTAAATGTGGCCTGTAAATCACTAACATATGATGTGTTCACTAACAAACTAGGAGTAACCAAGTCTGGACAGGGCCATTTTCTTCCTTAATCTCACAACTTCATAAAAAGCATCCTTGTCTGGAATGAAATATCAGGAATTATTTTACAAAATATTTTTCTGCTGTAGTAAATTTTTTGTTTCAAAGAGTTGTACAGTGTATCACCACAGGCTCTTAACAAATTAACTTGCTAGAAATATAAGCCTATTTTTGTGCATTTTCTATTGACTTAACACTATAGATAAAATTCTTAGTTTCTTAGGCAACTCTATAACTTTGAATAAAAATTAAATAATGCACAATGATGTTCTTTTCTGCGCAAAGATATCAAATTTATATCTTTAAATACCAAATCAGCAACTGACCATAAAAGATTACTAACCTTCACTTTTCACTAAACCTTGGTTAATGTATCGAATGTATGTATAGAAATCACAAACAGCTGCAATCTGGAATTTAAAAATAATAATGTAAACCCTCGTCTTGATATAATATCTCTTTTCTTGAGAAACATTGTGAAAGATCTATAATTAAGGTCTTCCGTTTTAGACGGAAGACCTTATAGTGATTCTACTGTTTCTTTTTATTATTATTTTTTTCTCCCCTTTTCTTTTCCGGGCGATTTCTCAGAGATGTCTGGACGGATTTTCTTGAAATTTTCAGGGATGATAGAGAATGAAAATACCCCCAGGCGTTTTTTTCATTTTGTCAAAATTCACTTCTGCTCGTCAGATATGTCTGATTTCCGTTTTTTTCAAAAATATTTTGTCCCAGTCATATCTCAGAAACGGTAAGAGATTAAGACACCAAACTTATATGATTAATAGATCTTGAGGAGTAGGCAAAACCATTTGGGTTAAGAGCGTCAGCCGTCACTTCCGCTCGTCACAGGAAGTGATCAAAGAAGTCGAAATTTTCAACTTTTCTTTTTTGATTTTTTTCTTTCATCACATTGTTGCATCTTATTTGTAGATTCGAAATATGTTGGTCCCACCGGAAACAAAAACGTCAACTTCCGGCTATAAGCGAAAAACTGCATAATTTGAGTATTTTACTTTCCCATAAATATTTTTTATAGATAACGTAAATGAACTGATTTTTGAATATGTTATCAAGACTGCCAATATCTAGAGTAACGTCAAATATCTTTGTAAAATTCACTTCCGGTCGCGCGTTTAAATGTCCGCAAAATGAGAACTTGTCCGAGTGAGATCTCAGAAACTGTAAGAGATTTAGACACCAATCTGATAGGAGTATTAGACCTTGAGGAGTAGACAAAACCATTTGGGAGAAGAGCGTCAGTCGTCACTTCCGGTCGTCACAGGAAGTGATCAAAGAAATCAAAAATTTCAACTTTTCTCTTTTGGAATAAGACTTGCATCACATAATTGTATCTTTTTCACAGTTACGATATGTGTTGGTCGCACCGGAAACAAAAAGTGAAAACTTCCGGTTATAAGAGAAAAACTACATAATAGGGGTTTTGAATTTTCCCCAACATATCGCTTATAGATAGAGTTCTTCAAATGTGTTTTAAATATGTTATTAAGACTGCAGATGTCTAGAGTGACATGAAATATCTTATTAAAATTCACTTTCGGTCGCGTGTTTTCTTGTTCTCAAAATGGAAAGTTATTTCAGCGAGATCTCGGAACCGGCATGAAAGGAAGACACCAAACTTATAGGAGTAATAAAACTTCGTGAGAAGGCAAAACACATAGGGTTAAAAGCGTCAGCCGTCACTTCTGGTCGTCACAGGAAGTGATCGAAGAAATCGAAAATTTCAACTTTTCTTTTTAAAATTAAAACTTTCATCACTTTATTGCTTCCCTTTCGCTATTTTGAAATATGTTAGATTCCACCGGAAAAAAAACTTTAAACTTCCGGTTTTAAGAGATAAACTACGTTATTTCGTGGTTTAACTTTCTCATAAATATCACTTATAGATAAGTATTTGAAATGTTTTTTACATATGCTGTAGATACTGCAAAAGTCAAGAGAAAATTCAGAGCTTTTTATTCAGTTCACTTCCGGTCGTGTGTTTTCCTGTCCTCAGAATTTGAATTTGTTCTCACAATTGTTCGGCAACAGTAAAAGACTGAAGTCTAAAGCTTTCAGGACTTATAGTCAGTCATCAGTTCATTTGCTTCGTGTAAAAATCGTGTGTCGTCATTACTTTCGGTCGTGACAGGAAACGAAGCAAAAAAGTATTTTTTTAAGTTATTTTGTTTCTACATAAGTTTTAGGCTAATACCGACGTTGGAAAAGACATGTTCATGCAAACAGGAAGTAGTATAACGGAAGACCTTCTCATTACTAGTAATGAGTTTCTAGTTTTCTTTCTTGTTTTTCAGAAAAAAAAATCAAAGTTATCTAGTTATTTCAAAATGATTTTTACTTCTATGGCAAAAATGAATCAACAATGTGCTCATGTTTGTATGAATTTTCTTTATTCTTTCACAGATAAAGGCCACATATAAACTAGTAACAGTGACTGTCATGCCTGTTCATACATTTCATTTCAGAAATCTATATAATGTATATATATATATATTTATTTGCACCTACACTTTACTGATAAACAATATTTCTATTGAATATAAGTGAGTTAACCTTTCCCAGAGAGCTGAGAAAAAGAGTGACTCACACTGTTCCCACTGAGTTAAGATATACAGTGACTTACCTTATTCCTACAGAGCTGTCCAATACAGTGACTTATTTCTACAGAGTTCATACATACAGTGAATTACCCTTTTGCTAGAGAACTGAGATGTATAATGTCTAATCCTATTCTATACAGTGACTTATCCTATACCTACAGAGCCAAGATATACATTGACTTACCCCATTCCTACAGAGTGTGATGTACAGTGACTTACCCTATTCCTACAGAGCTGAGATATACAGTGACTTACCCTATTCCTACAGTGCTGAGATATACAGTGACTTACCCTATTCCTACAGAGCTGAGATATACAGTGACTTACCTCATTCCTACAGAGCTGAGATGTACAATGACTTACCCTATTCCTACAGAGCTGAGATATAGAGTACCATTCTGAGTCCTCTCCCAGCTTTATTTTGTAGTTACATAATTTGTTGTTTTCTGTCAAGCGACACTTCCTGAGGAAAAGAAACATAATTTAACCACTTTTCCTGGCTTCAAATTTACATGTAAATATTAAAACTGTCTTTTTATAGTGAAGAACACGTTTCCTGGGTCTTTGTACCAATGAACAAAATTATTCATTTTTTTCTCTAAAAAGCTTCTTTGAATAAATAATAAATGATTAATAATATTAAATGATTTTATAATTTTAAGAATAGCCTAAAATGTTAAGATTAACATTATGAACTTTCTGCCTTTGAAAGTTTTAAATAAAAAGCATTTATATTTACAAGACAAAATCAAATATAAAAAAGGATTCATCACATTTTAATATAACTTTTTAAAAAACTTCCTAAATAAATTCAAAAAACATTGAAAATAAAAATGATTTACAAGAGTTATTTCCCTTTCAAGGAGGTCTTTTATTCTGATCATTTGAACACAGTTTTTGAGACCTGCTAACGTACCTCGGATAGGAACTATCACCTGGAATGGGTTCTATAGTCAGACTATTGCTGGCCACACAACTCTTCACTTTTTCTGCCAGCTGCAGATGTAGAAATTATGTACTAAGCTGAGTCTGAGAGAAGACTACTTATTTAGTGAAATAAAAATAAAGATCAAAAAACAAAAAAAACAAAAAAAGAAAAGAAAATTTGCAACAGTTCTACTTTTTTTACCTCTGCTTTTTTTTTTTTTTTTTTTTTTTTTACAGAAGCTTAGAGATAATTACATACGAACAGTTATATGTACTTAAATTTGTATTTGTGGCAGTTATTTTGACTACAAACTGATTTCTACAGTACAACCTGTCTATACTTACAGCTACATTAGAGAAGTTCAGGCAGGGGCCTATGTCTTCAACATACATTCGGTTCAGGAAGGCATTAGATAACTCTAGGGAAGGCTTCTGTCTCCACTCGACAAACTCCTCGTAAATTGTGCTGTCAATCTGTCAATATCAAAATTTAATCATATTTATAGAAAAATATCATTGCATAATTTTTCACATTATCCACGAAATGGATTATTTAATTCTTACTAGCTAGTGCATTTACTTAAAACAAACATTTTGTACAGAAAATGGACCAAAAATCAGTTTTTAGACAACTGGGTTAGAAGTCTTTGTACATGATTTTATGCTGTTTGTCTTTCATGATCATGTGTTAAATGTTCTATTTCCAATAAAAGTTTTAAGCATTTATTAGATTGAACAAGTGACTATCCTGTATATAACTCTGGATTGGGAAGATAAAATGTAATCTTAATGATAAAAAATGTACAACCACACCCTCATACACACTGTATACAAGATAACTTTTCCCTGCTGATATTCCACTATGTGTTGTTGCAAAGTGCATTGTTGTATAGAAGCAAGAAGAAATTTAAGTGTTTCATTTTTACAATCTTAAACATGCATAGTTAGACAGCTAAATTTTAGGGCATATATTAGTTAAAGAGTAGAATAATTTTGGATAGATTGGATTAAACTGTAGATATTCATTTCCAATATCTTACATTCATAGGTGAATGAAATAGATACTGATATTTACCGTGCCGTCACCATTTTCTGTCTGAGAGAATGATGTAAGGTGTGATGAATGATAATGAAATTGGTCCAAAAAAAAAAAACAAAAAACAACTTAACTTTTGCTCAGAGACAAAGGCTTACAAATATATAAATCGGAGCAAAAAATTTTTTTTCTAAAAATTGGCATGCATTAATTCTACACTCTGTGAGAACTACTTGCTTTAAATAAACCATAATAATAAAAACAAAATTAAATTTTAAAAAAATGTCAAAAAGAGGCCCATGGGCCACAATGCTCACCTGAGTCACTATGACCCTACTGCTGTTCATCATCAGATTTTTCCCCAATATATTCCTATGCAAAAATTTGATTGCCCTTTGTGGTCCCACCCTATCCCTGGGGTCATTATTTAAACAAACTTGAATCTACGCTATCTGATGATGCTTCCATATATAAATGTGACTAGTCATCGCTTTCTGTTCTTGACAAGAAGATTTTTCAAGATTTCATGTAAAATTTTGATGGCCCATAGTGCCCCCACCCTACCCCTGGGGGTTATGATTTGGACAAACTTGAATTTACACTACCTGAGGATGTTTCTCTATAAATTGATTAAAAATAGCTTTACTGATCTTGAGCAGAAGATTTTTTGGAAGATTTTTCTTAATATGTAAAACTATGTAAAACTTTTATCAGCCATTGTGGCCCCACCCTACCCCCAACTAATCATGACTATTATGTTCTTCAGAAGAAGATGGAAGATATCCCCCCCCCCCCCCCCCAAAAAAAAAAAAAAAAACAAAAACAAAAAGAACAAAAAAACTTGAATCTGCACTATGTACTGAAACTTTTCTGTAAGTTTCTTCTTTCCTGGTCCAGTAGTTCTTGAGACAATTTTTGAAAGATGCGATTAAACTTCACTAATTGTGAATTACCTCCCAATGAAAGAGAATGTGGTCCTTCCTTTGAACAAATTTAAATCCCTTTCACCCTAGAATGTTTTGTATTAAGTAAGTTGAAGTTGACCCGATGGGTCTTAAGAAGAAGTTGAAAATGTTGAAAGTTTACAGAGGGACAGAAACCAGTAAAATGTGATCAGAAAAGCTCACTTGTGCTTTCAGCTCATGTGAGGTAAAAAACATAATGGCTTTATAAATAATTTAAAAAATATATATTTTCAGTTTAAAGTGAAGTTTTCCTTTAATTGTTAAAATAATTAAAATGCAAACTAATATTTAAATTAAAATCAAATATAACAAAATATTCCCTGACCTCTTTGCATCGGTCAGCCTTTGCCTCTTGTTGGGCCTCCACTTCTTGTCTGGCCTCCTTCGTAAACTCATGGTGGCTAGTGGAGCGACGGTGAGTCTTCCAGAATGGCTTGCTGGACTTTGGCTTCTCCTTCTCAGCAGCCATCGTGGTAGCTATCTGGGGGTGCAGGTGCTTGTTTGGGGAAGCAGGGGTAGAGGTGAGGACCAGCTGTTTCAAGGCTACCACCTCGGCCTGAAGGACCTCAATCTATCACATATAATTTGTTTCACTTTAATATTTATCATGTTGCTCAATGTGAAAGGATAAGATGTAGGTTGTTTCATCAAGTTTTGATATATACTAAGCACTGAAACACAATAATATATAGCATAAGTAAACAAAAAAGTAACCTTAATTTAGTTCAATCATAAATTGCATAAAATGTTGCATATTGTGATCCACAGTTTATGAGGTATATGCATACATATTTTGTACTGCCATACAGTGATTCATTTTGGCCTGCGTCCTGCATAGATTACGCACAAATTTTGCTCAGGACGCATTATTTCAATAAATGTGCATTCCAATGGACGCAATAAATTTATAGAAGGGCATGTATTATTTCAGAATATTTCGGTATAATCTGATTTAAAACTTGACCGATTGCATCATATCCACGTGCTAAGCGATATGCATGAACAATTTTAACAGGTATCAGGTTGCAAACAACAGGTGAGATTTCACAGTTGCAGTTAACAAGCAATTATCAGAAAATATTTGAAAGTTAGATAGCATAGTTCGATTATCACTGATGATATCTATACTGTGGAACATTTCTGAAGCGTACAGTATATATACCTTTGTATTTCTGCTGTAACCTGTATCTCTTGGATTTGGACGCATTGATTTTGGCACAGAACTCATTGTTGTCATTAAAAGGGGTCCTCTGGACCCATGATAACCATTTTCAAAATGAATCACTGGCCATACAGTATTATTTTTTGGTGTAGTGCAATATACCAGAGTATATCTTTATACCCCTATAAATTAAAGCATTTGGAGCTTAGCTTCTATGATATGTATTTGCTTGAATCATACATTAGCATGTACATGAGATAGCAGACAAATAGCAGTGTGCAATGTGCTATTGTTTATTTAATTGAAAGAACATATAAAGAACTTTTGTTAGGAGAAAGATGTGTAATTTTTGGTATATAAATGTGTAATTGTTGGTATATATGTGTGTAATTTTTGGTATATAGATTTGTAATTTTTGTTATATAGATCTGATATGCTGTGGTGTATACATGTGATATGCTGTGGTATATAGCTGTGATATGCTGTGGTACATAGTTGTGATATGCTGTGTTATATAGATGTGATATGCTGTGGTATATACATGTGATATGCTGTTGTATATAGCTGTGATATGCTGTGGTATATAGATGTGATATGCTGTGGTATATAGATGCGATATGCTGTGGTATATAGATGTGATATGCTGTGGTATATAGATGCGATATGCTGTGGTATATAGATGTGATATGCTGTGGTATATAGATGTGATATGCTGTATCATTATCTTACCTGTTGATGAGCTTCCCTCAGCAGTTTCTCTGAGTGCATTCTCTTGATATTAGCGTCCTGTACCATGTTGTTGGCTTCCTGTAAAACATGAAATAAAGTCAATTTTTTTCTTCCTTCTCATCATGCTCATGCTTTTTAAAATAGCTTTATAACAGCTTTATCATGTTTATATACATCCCTGATTACACTCAGATTATAAACACTAATAAAAGTTCGACCCTGACCTTAACTAGATTCAATTATACAATATTCTGATTTGAATCATACAAACACATTGCCCTAGCCTGAAATAGATACCATAAGTGAAAATATATTGTCTGGTCTTAAATATAGCATATTATATATATAAATGATGTATTACCCTCATGTCATACAGAAACATAGAATATTGCTTTGACCTTAAACAGATAAACAAATTAAGTGTATTGCCCTCATGTCATAAACATACAATACTGCCCTGACCTTAACACATAAACAAAGTGGTATTGCTATTTCCCTCACTTCATCAGATAAACAAAGTGTAAATATCCTCACATGATTCAGAAACATTCAATATTGCCCTGATCTTGGACCTTAACAGATAAACAAAGTTGTATTGCCCACATGTCATGCAAATATGTACAATATTGCCCTAACCTTAAAAGATAAACAAAGCTGTATTGCCCTCATGTCATAAACATACACTATTGCCCTAACTATAATAGATAAACAAAACTGTATTGCTCTCCTGTCCTAAAGATACATAATGACATATTGCCCTGACCTCAAACAGACTTGCAGTGAGTTCCTCCAGTTCTTCCCCCATCTGGTCTCTGACCTTCAGTAACTTCTCACATTCCTCGTCCTTCAGCTTCAGCTCCTGTCAACAAACAATACAGACCCTCAACAAACAATATAGAAACTCAGGTGTTAGCTTCAGCTCCTTTCAACATACAATATAGACTCAGGTGTTAGCTTCAGCTCCTCTAAACATACAATATAGAAACTCAGGTGTTAACCTCAGCTCCTATAAACATAAATTATAGAAACTCAGGTGTTAACCTCAGCTCCTATATACATACAATATAGAAACTCAGGTGTTAACTTCAGCTCCTATAAACATACAATATAGAAACTCAGGTGTTAACTTCAGCTCCTATAAACATACAATATAGAAACTCAGGTGTTAACTTCAGCTCCTATAAACATACAATATAGAAACTCAGGTGTTAGCTTCAGCTCCTGTCAATATACAATACAGAAACTCAGGTATGAGCTTCAGCTCCTGTCAACAACCAAAAAAAGTAACTCAGGTGTTAGCTTCAGTTCTTGTCAACATACAATAGGGAAACTCAGTACTTTTATTTTCAAAAGACAAAATTGCTGTAGTATAAAATAGAAATATTTTTGATAATTACTTTCATTTTTTATTTGGATTCTTTTTATTGGGGAACAAAGAGCAAATGAAATTGGAATCAGTAATCCTACAAAATATTGATAATGATAATGAATAATTTTCACTATACACGTGTATTTTGACTCATTATAACCTGTCATCTGAGTTTTGGTTTTAAAATCAATCAAATGTTACCTAGTACACTGGTAGTGCGATGTATCATTTATATATAAAAACTTCCTCTAACAGTATTTATACTTCCACAGTGATGTTTATAAAAGGGAAAATGTGCTACTGAAATCCTTATAAAAAAAACCCCATCAGATATGGCCTTAGATGACAAATAAGGAAATCATGAACATGTGGAACAGAATGATTGTTGTGTGTTTTATTCGGTTTGTTGGAACTCTAAGTAACAAGGAAAAAGAAATGTTTCTGTGCAAAGTCTTTAAATCAATGAACAATTTCAAAAAAGATGAGATTGCACTTTTTTTTTTTTTAAACAGCTTGTCAATCGAACTGAGCTGAGAAATTTTGTATGCACAACTGGCTGTGCAAATGACAATATAATTATGATTAAAAGATGTACTCCATCACTTATTAAATTCAGTGTCTGACAGAGCATATATGGTCATCGTTAAAAATCATGGTGGGGGTTCTTTGTGTTGTTTTTTAATCCTCCTTTTGATGCAATCAGCAGTTGTAAATAATTCATTGAAGATTTGCTGATCATCGAACACTGTATAAACACTAAGTACACCGAATTCATGCCCAATAATACTATATCATTTCTGCAGATCAACACTCTATAACTACTCAGTACACTGAATTCATGTCCAATAATACTGTATCATTTCTTAGACTAATGATCAACATTCTATAACCGCTCAGTACATTGAATTCATGTCCCGTAATATGAATGAGGAAACGAGGTTTCCACACAGGATATAGGCCATTCAGATCATTAAGTACACAAAATTACTGCTGCAATCCTGGTGTGTATCAAATATCATGATTTCTATAGTATTCTGGCCAACAAAATATATATTTAAATCGTTTCTACTGTTCTGAAGCATATCACATATTGTACATGCATTGCACTTTGGATTCCATAACCTGACTGATTACTCAAATAATATCATGACCCTCAAAATATTACTTGTAAATTATTAAAGCCTTGGTAAGCATTGTGTCTTTGACAATTAAATAATTAAATGTTGTGGAAAAATGGTAACTAACTCGCAATCCTTGGGTATTTCTTATTTTTTGTCAGATCTGTTGAGTTTGTTATTACAAGGTATAACTGAATATAAAACCCATATTATTTCAGGACAGAGAAGCCAGTTCTGAAAATGAAGACTTTATTTACCTCCTGGGCCTTGGAGAGTTCCTCCTGAAGCCTGCCATAGGCATGCTCCTTGACATGAGCCATTGTCTGGCTGCGCTTACGGAGTCGAACTTCATTCGGCAGGACCTCTGACATTGCATGTCGTAGCTCGCCCCGCTGTCGCCCGCTGTTTCGTAATTCTACAGACGATGTGTCAATATCTCCCTCTTCTGGTCTGAAGTATAAAAAATAAAATAATAAATAATCTACAATAAACAAATGAAATTTCATAGTATGGACAAAAAATATAAATCTTTTCACTAGTAGAGCTGGATCTGTAGATAGATTAGATTTTGCTGAAGCCCAAGAGTAAAATGGGCTACTGTTTACTTTCTTCAATTTCACGAGCCTCTGAATTTGAGAACTTTAAAACTTCAACTCCTATGACATTTAAGCTTTTCTTTTCTCATTTACTGTTTTGCAGTAATCCAAAGTCAAGGAAAGATCTGAAGGTTAAGAAATTTGTGTATTAATTGCCAAATACATTATGATGAAGATGCATTTTGAATGTGATTCAATGTACTAGATGCAAATTGTCTTTTTTTTACAGTATCATTAAATAATTTGACTTTATATACAGTTACACTTGTAATTATTACAAGAATGAATTTATGATCATGATGTTAAAGCTTACAAGAACACTTCAATAAAAAGAAACACAGAACAATTACTAATAAAAGCTGAAAGAGAAAGTTGAAAAAAGTCAGCTGTTTATATTATGACAAGTGTGAACATGAAGTGATTTTAATATCATTGAGTACATGTAATAACTAATAAATAAAACCCACTACTTAATGTAACAAGTAAAGGATTTGAAAATTGAACAGTGGAATCTGAATTTCATAGTTTTTTTTACCATAAAGCATAGATTTTCAAATGTTTTTTGATACAATATACATGTAATACTTGTATATTCTCTGATAAATGCAGAATCAAGTACATGCCTGAAAAAAACTGTACTACATGTACATCCAAGTTTGTACATCTGATCAGATGGTAAATTTTATAATAAAATTAAATTATACATACAAATCAGCTGACAGTACAGAATACAGGCACATCCATTGAGATATTCTAATTTAGTTCTCATAAAGATCTAATGGATTGTTTTTTATAATTGTAATCCACAAGCTGTACCATATACCACCCCGAATACATATTAATTCCCATGATTCCTACATCTAGAGCCCTGTCACTACCAGGCGATATAACTGTATAAATCGCTCATTTATTGCCCCCTAAGTAGGATTCCCGCATCTCATAGAGCTACTTGTGATTTCTCAAGTATCCACTCTAGTGTTTACCTAATCCCATGATAGGATATTCACTCTTTGGAGTCAGTGTTTTTTTTAGTAATGAATGGAATGCAATATGCATTTAAAATATGGTATTGGTATACCTTTGGTACATGTACATGTAGTTATGTAACCCTCCAATGACAAGAACATATCATACATTTGTCATATAAATTTGAATTTTTTTTAGCTTTACTACCGAGAGACATTTCTTCCAATCAAAAGATTAAAACTTCCTTGTGACAAAAATTTACTAAAATAAAAATCATATACATTGTACTAGTACATGTAGTATGTCACTATTTGCCTAATAGCTGTATACCAAAAAAAAAATATTTTTTTTTTTTTTTGGTAGATCTACTAAAATAAATTACATAGATGTATGTATCATGGTGACCTATTCATTCTCTATCCCTGGGCCATGCAAATTCTACTTTAAAGAGCATTTAAAATTTGAATTTCCATTAGGCAGAGACATATACCTGCCTATTCATTTCATCACAAAACTCACCTGAGATGAAAAACAAACATATCCTCCAGTCTCAAGCCATTTGTGGGCAAAATTAACTGATCACTTATACACAAATTACCAGTGCTAGCCATTCCTGAAGCTTTCACACTTTCACACCCTGTCCTTATGTTCAGGAAAATAAAATTTTACAAATAGATTCACAATTTAGGTGTATAGATAAAGGAGGATTTACTTCCATGTTTTTATATATAGGACACGGTCACAACACGACCTGTACACAAACGTAATACAATAGTTAGAAGGCATGCTATACAGGCTACATAATCCATTTCCTCATAGACGCCCTCTTATTCCAACACTTGTCGCTTAATCCTTCTGTATTTAATGTATATATATATATTTATGTGGATGTGTACATATGTTGTAATTTTGTATAAATGGAGGAGTACTAACTTAAGGTCATTTCATTAGTCACAGATATTCTCTGACTTGCATTATGTAACTTCAAACCATTATGATAATAATATTACGTATTATGAAGTATTTTTCTGAATCAGTCGCTATACAATACACAAACCAGAAGTCTCTGATGAGACTGTAGCTCTACTGGTCTGTACATATACATGTAACAAACAAAAAGTAGCACTTGAATTTGAAACTTTGCAACATGTAGCAATAAATAGAATTATGTATCTTAATGTAGTCTACTTGTATGCCAAGTTATATTGAAATCAAACAAAAACTGTAGGAGGAGTAGCGTTTTAAAGGAATTTCACAGAAATTTCTATTTTTAGTAACCATGGCAACACCATTCATCGAAAACAAAAACCGATGCACTGAATTATGTATCTTAGTTTAGTCTACTTGTGTGCCAAGTTATTGAAATCAGATCAAAACTGTAGGATGAGTAACGTTTTAAAGGAATTTCACAGAAATTTCTATTTTTAGTAACCATGGCAACACCATTCATCAAAATAAAAAAACTGATGCACTAATTTAAGTATCTTAATGTAGTCTACTTGTATGACAAATCATATAGAAATCAGACCAAAACTGTAGGAGGAGTAGTGTTTTAAAGGAATTTCACAGAAATTTCTATTTTTAGTAACCATGGCAACACCATTCATTGAAATCATAAACAGATGCACTAAATTATGTATCTTAGTGTAGTCTACTTGTGTGCCAAGTTATATAGAAATCAGACCAAAACTGTAGGAGGAGAAGCGTTTTAAAGGAATTTCACAGAAATTTCTATTTTTAGTAACCATGGCAACACCGTTCATCGAAATCAAAAACCTATGCATTAAATTATGTATCTTAGCGTAGTCTACTTGTGTGCCAAGTTATACTGAAATCAAACCAAAACCGTTGGAGGAGTAGCATTTTAAAGGAATTTCACAGAAATTTCTATTTTTAGTAACCATGGCAACACGGTTCATCGAAATTAAAACTCGATGCACTAAATTATGTATCTTAGTGTAGTCAACGACCAAAACTGTAGGAGGAGTAGCGTTTTGAAAAATTGTTTACAGACAGACGGACAGCTAGATGGACGGACAACGGACACTTTACTATCGCATAAGCTCTTCTGGTCTCTGACCAGTAGAGCTAAAGATTGACTCTAGATCTGGAATACTTTAAATTTATCCGAAGTTCAAATATAAACAATAATATTACAATGATTAAAAGCAGTTTAAATCTGTACAACCTCTTCAAGGTTACACATTTTCTGCAATATTCAAGCATTTAGAGGCTTGTGGGCCATATAACATACAGTTTTTAACAGTAATAATTGTTTAGGCTGATCACAGACATACCACCATGTTAAATCTAGTCATACTGTAATTTTACTATGGGTTAAATTTAGTTAATCCATATAAATCCAATACCAATAATGGACATAGCTAATTTAGTCCACAGTGGACAAGGTGTATCTCCCTAACCAGAAGCTTGAACTGAGCATGTTAATGCTCATATTCATATTGGTTAAACTGGACTCAATATATCTACATGTTGGGAATTCATATTGTAGTGGTTTGGGCTGTGGATATCGGCCTGGGTAGCTCAGTCGGTAGAGCACCTGGCCAGGGGTCCTGGGTTCAATTCCCTGACCAGCCATAAATTTTCTCCTTTCCTGTTACAATATTAAGAATAAGAGAAATACTGTAACATTGGAAAGCACAAAAAAGTAACTCAATCTAGGCATCAACAATACCTCTTCACAACAAGGGTACATTTTGAAATGAATTTTGACTTACAAATCATGTAGAATATACCAAACATTTATCATGCAGCTGGCATAGTGTTTCAATGATTTCAAGAATCATTCAAGATACATTGTACATCTGACTTCTACCTGGCTCACTTTCAGAAACTATATTGACTGCAGAAAAGTAAACGGCATCAAACATGTGGCAAATGTGTCCTTATTAACAGACATGTAGCTGAGACTAACACTACATGTTCTTTTCCCAATATGAGACAACTTTTAAATTACTATTGTAAGACCATCCAGAAGAACATCCTAAGCTACATTCTAGTTATATTATTGGGACAGTACTACAAACATTTGATAGTAAAAAAATTAAAACAACTTTTGTGGTTAAAAGGAAGTTTAAACTCTTAGAAGTAGACATCTTCGCTAGCCAAGGGCTTCTGATACGCTACTCTCCTCATAAGCCCTTGGCATACGGTGTTAAAAAAAGTTGGGATTTTTTTCTCAAGTTGTGATTGGAGTTGATTGACATCGTTCGACCAATCAGCAATTGTTTTTTGTAAATGACGATATTTGCGTTCGGGATATATCTTGACTCTTTAATATCGGTAATGTAAAACGCAAGTAAACAATGATCCGTAAGATAACATGCCATTCTATGAATAGCAATATGGTGTCATCCAATTTCTAAAGCAACGAGCAAAATATGTGATTAAGAATCTATACTGAAGATGTAGATTTGCATTTTAACATGTTTAAATAACAAATTAACATAACTCAATACCTTCTTGTTAATTATTCTTTAAAAACAAAATTTTTTTAAATAAGCTTTTTATTTCTGTCGATGACGCAATCTGCACGTACCTGGTAAGAATCATGATCATGTGACAAAAACAATCCCGTCTTTTGTCAGCACCGTATGCCAAGGGTTTATGAGGAGAGTAGCGTATCAGAAACCCTTGGCTAGCGAAGATGAGAAGTAGAGAAAATGAATGGAAAAAATTTGATTACAGCAGCTGATTAAAAAAAAATATTGTGACATATTATTTTTAATTGACAATCTATTTATGTATTTGAATCCATGATTACCAACTCCTGACCAACAGATAGAAAACTAAAAAATTTTAATTATAATAGCTCCAGCATAGAAAAATGCTTACATCTGAGAAAATGACAGATAGCTTGCACTATTACATAAATATCAATAAAGATCCTTACCTAATCTAGCACAGAAAGTGATTGATGGAACACAATGTATTTTTGTCAGACATAAAGTGCACTACAAAACCATAATATAGTCAGTAACAGTGCAACATTCCATAAACGGAGATAAAAGGCTCACTTTGTTTGCCTTGTTAAGGGCCTCGTTAAAGCATGTCAATGATGACAGGTTTTATTATGAAGTTGATTATATGTTTATTGTTCCTCCAATGTAAGAGAGTTCTGGTCTCCCATATCAAAGATCTCAGTCTGTAATTACAGGGGATTAAAATATGGTAGCCGTGCATCTCATATGGTCAGCCATAATAATTGGTTTTTAAGCCTCTGAATCCAGAACCCCTTCTTATTTGATTCTTTATGATCAGATTATGCATTCGACATTAGAAAGAGAGAAGTGATTTGGCAGAATGCAGAATTGTTAGCAAACAACCATGTTCATAACTTTCTGCTCTTAATGTGTTTTTTCTTGAAATATATTCTATAAATGTTGATCCTTTTAACTATATGTACCATCTCAAGTGCAACACTCCTCCTATAATTTGTTTCAAACTTAATTTAATTATGATCAAATATTTCGAGACAATTGCAAATGAAATACATCCTATGTGTCTTTGATGCTCAAGCACTTTAAAATTTAGGAAATTCCATTTACAGGTAAATCAATCCTTATCGATATTAAGTTGAACAATATGCAATATAACTACTCATTGAAAATGGTGAAATTTTAAAAACTAATATAAATTTCAAGTGTAATTATTATCTTATTTTTTCAATATATCTTGAATTTGCACCAAATTGAGTAAATATTTTCTATACAATAATTAAATCTACCAAAGTCCTACCAACTGAAAATATGTCAAGTGTGTAATATTCATTACACATTATATAATAATAAACTGTATGTAAAGATTATTTTTAATTTGACTGTTTGACACTAAAATACTTTCAATGATATAATAAAAGTTGAAGTCAAAGATAATTTTTTTCCCATTACTTACATAACATACACCATGGCTAGCATTATTACGGTGTTCAAAACATTCCACCAAAAAAAATCACATACACACTCCGAGGACAAAACAACAAAACCACTTCCCCTATTATGTGTATTGATTGTTTGTACCTTCCCCAGGGGATCACCAATACACATCTTACATTTTATATGCTGTTACTAAAAATAGCCCCTACAGGTGTTTTGTTTACCTATTGTGAGACAAAGCTATCGCTCAGACTAACAAGTTAAAGTGATAGTTGTGTACTTTGCAGGTGACACGATTTAATTCGACCAATGACAAGAAAGATATCTTAACAGAAAGGGAGATAATTTGTAACAGAAAGGGAGATAATTGGAATCATGAGCAAAACTTACACTGGTACAGAGATAAATTATGCTTATTATGGATCCTGTTCTACTTGTATTGTACATGTAATCACAACATGCATCTGATTCAGAATGTTTTAAAGCCATATGTTTTAATTACAAATACATGTGCAAAGTGTTCTTTAATTTTGAAAGAATTAATCCATTATATAAACATGATAAGCTAAGGGAAGCATTGCCTGTTGATTTCGTTAAAGAATCAAAAACTGCAAAACAGCCAACTACAGTTCTTTCTTTTCATGCAGTTACATAGATCATGATGTTAATTACATGATTTTTTTTTTATTTTGTGATTTGTGAATCGAATGCTGAAGAGATGGAATACATATTATGCTACACATAAATGAGAAGATATGAATTATTTAGCTGAGAAATATATATAATAATTTGTAATAATGGTAAAATGTTAAATATATTTTTTTTTCTCTTTTAAAAGATTAAATTATACTAAGATAATAAATGCTTCTTGTGGAAAATGAGTGAAGTCTCTGGCTTACTAGTTGCAAAAACTACACATTTATGGACACAGAACAGCAATTTGTATTTTATGTACATTCTATCATTACAAACTAAACAAAACAACATTTAGTTGAAAGTAGGATTTTGTTATTAAGAAATGCACATGTATCTGTGAAAATGCCTTTCTGAGGAATTATTTGATATATCATTGCTAGTATCAAAATATCATATTTCCCATCTTTAAACATGCTAAACCCCTTTCAAAACATGCTAAAACAAAATGTCAATTATTATTCCATTCAGCCCTGTAGAATGTACATAAATTACAGATGTCCAGCCATTAAGTGCTGACTTACTCAAAGAAGCTCACACCCCTCATCACTCTGTATATAGAGAGGTCAGGTTTGCTACAAGGAAACAGTGTAATGCATGCAAAACATAACCAAAAACATAACCCAAACTGTTATACATTCTACAGTGTTGTTCAACAGGGAGAAGCATTTAATCCTATACTATAAATACTAAAACTGAATAGGTTATTAGGCAAAAAAACAAACAAACAAACAAAAACTTTGTTTCCTGTAACAATTGACCAGTTCATTTAAATCTTTTTTTTCTTCAAAATTTACAGTCTTAGAAAAAGTCCTAATTTATTCAAAAAACATGATTATATTCCTGGCTGTTCATAGTATAAACTAATGCTCTTTTTTTTCTGAAACAAAAATGCCATCAACATCAAATTAATGTCTATAAATTTAAAATGTTTAAGGGCATTAAGTCCATATGATTTATTATTTTATTTTTAAAAAACCCCAAAATCAACCACATACCCCCCCCCCTTTTCTTGTTCAAAACAGATTTTTTCTTCAAAAAAAAAGAAGATACTTTTAATTGCTAAACAAAGTTTAAATACCCCATACACTTTAAATAGCTTGTTTCAATATAATTTTCTTTGAGGTAGACAAGAAATATGAATTGCGTTTGGTCATCAAAAAGAAAAGGGCACAGGTTGGTGAAGACAAGAAAATAAAGTTAATGCTTTAGTCTGGGTTATTCAAATTTATATTAAGACTAAGGCTTATATTTCAAGAAAATAAGTCCAACTAGTGATGAAAAAAAATTACTGTTGAACCCTGGCATGTTACAGGAGTCAAAATTAACATTAACTTTTGATTTGCCCTAAAACTAACTTGCTAAATTAACATTGATTAGTAAACATGGTAAAGTCTATACTGTTATAACGTATATAACCCTGCACCAGATATTGACTATTTCTTTTAAAATCCAACACTGTGAATATAAGCACTGATAAGTACAAGTATCTTGCTGGTTCTTTACCAGTGTTGCTCCTAATAGAAGTAGGTCACATTAGATACTCGAGTGAACTTTCTTTACTGATCATCATGCTGATTCCACAAATTAACGTTCTTCTATAAACCTGATGTGCTTACAATACTTTTAAAAACTAAGTTTCAAAAGTTTGGAAACTCTCTGAATTATTCAACATGTTCAAACAACTAATCAAAACCCAGTGATATCTACATTATCTTTAACATTAACAAATTTCTCCATGACTTACTCAAACCTGTTTATTCTTTTCATTTCTTTTCGTTTTTCATCTTTTATGTATACCATTTGACTTTTGATAGCCTATAAACACTGTTAATTGAACAATATTGTTGAATAAAAAGGTTTAACTTTATAGTCATGTGCCTGATGGTATCATCTTATGCTGTTAAGCAAAATGAAACAGATAATTGAAAATTTCCCAGGGGACTGACTCTAGGGAATCTCATTTTAGCATGTTAATCTATATATTCGTAGGTCATGAAAAATTAGGATGACTCACTCGGGGAAAAATAAAACTGAAAAATTACCCCCTTCGCAAAAGATATACAGAAATTACAAAAAGAATCCCCAATTCAAATATGATTATGTATTAGCATCAATTACATATATATAGGATGTACATATCATCAAGATTATATTGATGTATTTCCTTACCGATCAGAATCAGTGGCAGTATCTGTTCCTACATCTCTAGTGGATTCTTCTCCATTGCTTTCAGTTGCTATGGAAACATTTTTCTGTCTTTTCACAACCTTGTTTTCTGATGATTCCACAACCTTAGAGTCACCTAGAGATCTGTTAACAGAACTAATGCCCTGTGTAGTTTTACTATCATCCCCATTTTTGGAAGTGTTTGTGCTGAGAGCTTGCTGTTTTTCTAGTATTTTTGGATTGGTTCTCTGACCCCCATTGGAAGAAGGGGCCACCAGTTTATCATTTGATTTCAGAGGAACTGTCATTGGAGGAGATGTACCCTGTATGAGAGGAGTTAAGTCTTTGTGGGGAATCTTTGGGGACCTCTGGGGTGACTCGGACTGAATTTTCTGTAACAGTGGTGGGGAGATGGGGTGGTGGGGTAAAATGGGGGATCCAGAAATTGGCGAGGGGATAGCCTCTGGAGATGGTGATGAAACAAAAAATACACACTCCTTCTCTCCTGGGGAGGGGTTCTGTTTGATTGGGAGGTTATTATTATTCATATTGTGGTCCAGCGATGGTGGTTTATCAGGGGCTCCAGAGGGGAAATATCCAGCCATGTCCTTATGCAGCAGTCCCCCAAAATTCTGTTAAATGGTTGGAGTCAGTCCACATTGTTGATTTCCTGAGACAACTGAGCTCCAGAGACACTTGAACTGAAAAAATCATGAAAAATGTCTTAATCATTTCTTAACTACATTTATTAATGATAAACCTGAAATTTATGTTCATAATTATTTTGTAGTTGCATGTCTGATTTTTAAAAGCAGCTAATAACTAAAAATGTTTTAATCATTTCTTAATTACATTTATTAATGATAAACCTGAAATGTTCAAAATTATTTTGTAGTTGCATGTCTGATTTTTTAAAAAAAAGCTAATAAATAAGAATGATTTCTTTTTCTTGAAGAATGATATAAAATATGGCAGTCTTTTACAGTGAGCACCACTGATGAAAATATACCTAAGTGGAACTAACATGATTATTTAAAATTATTTATTCCTTAGGTGGGTCCAACAAGAGTCACAAAGGTAAATATTTTGCTCTTGCATTACACATTTTTCCAGGGCCCAAAAGTGTACTTGTTCCTTGCACTTTTTAGACTCAACTGGTAAAAATGCAACTATTCATATTTATGTGACTTCGCAGTCTCTATAGTCTCATGTGATTGAAAGAGGTGGATCTAAGTTAAGAGTAAGCTACATATAAATAAATGTTTTATATATTTTAAAATGAATACAGAAATGTCCTCGCCCAAACAACCGCACCATCAAACATACTGTAAATTCCTTATTTTTCGCAAGTACTTATTATCGCGAAATGGCTCTTTCACGTCAAATCGCGAAAACAATAATTCACTAGTGGACGGTTGATCAAGGGATTTTACATTGGTTCCAGCACCATAAAAATAAAAGCGAGAAATTTTATTTCGCGAGTGGTGCTTCTCGCGTAACTACGCGATAATTAATTCCTCGCGTATATTTAGGAATCTACAGTAATAAAGAAATTAAGAAGATTAAATTAGCAATGGCTGGTGGCTGGATATCAAATTTCATACAACTCAAATGTATGTTGTTTTTTTTTAATCAGGATATGGTTAGTTTATGATTAAGCATACATGTGATATGTATTGGCTGTGCACAAAATCTCATGCATTTTATACCCCATTCATGGGCTCATGGCGACACACCAAATTCACGGGAAATGAAAAGAGTCCTGTATTTTGAATTATTTACTGAAAACTACAATTTTTCTTTATCTTTCACTCTCACAACACTGGAAATCTTGTTTGTTGCATAAAATACTATATGAGTTTTGATCATGGTCAAAGGTGTGAAACATACAAAGCAGTGTTCCAAAGCTTTTTCTTAGGCTGAATATTGTTTTTATTAGGAGGGGGTTTAACTGTCATTTGTTAAAATTTTGTCAGTAGAAAGATGTTTCAAAGAGAATCAGAATAACTCAGTGTGACAACAACAGAAGATTTAATCCATGACTGTTTTTTGCTCTGCTTAGGCATATTAAGTACTGGTATTATGCATTCTAACGCAGAGTAAAAGAAATACTATTAGTATCATTTAAATAGCGCAGATGACTGGAAGTCTCGCATAAAACACTGTACTAAAATTCAGCATGGACCATGGGAATTGCTGACATTCTACAAGTTGCAAAAGTTTCTTGAAATGAGTATGTATATGTCATTACATATAACACTGCATCCAGCTGGCCGTAAACTTGTTAATAAAAAAAATGAACCTGATCATATCTTACATTGATTTTTGGTCGATATTTTGCACAGTTTTTTTGTAAAGGTTTATAATGAAATTCAATGAACAGTACATGTATTTTCACCTAAATTCAAGTATTTTGAAGACCCAACTCCTGCTCCTGATTTTGGACTAAAAATCATCACATGTATATAATAATATTAACAAAGCCAAATAAGTTCTATTTTATGTATGCAAGGGAAATTGTACTATTTTTAAATGAAGAAAAATTATCAGGCTTATATCATTTTCCATGGTTACATGAAAAAATAACATTCACCGCAGCGATGCATCGAACCACTGCTGTGGTTCAAATCGCTTTTGTTAAATATTCTTACAACAACCAGCTGACGCAGTATTTTTTTTTACATAGTTGAAACTGCCTTATTATCGTTTGGCTATGTTTTGCATAATGATTTCTTAATTAAGAGCTTACAAAAGTTTCTTGTGTGAAATATAAAAGCATTACCAAGCCTGCATTACAGGAAAACAATATTTTTGTCTTGTATAATCTCTCCAACCTTTCTGACCATTCTATGAGTCGCGTTTGATTTATTAATTATGAAAAAAAAAAAAAAACATCGAAATAAATCAATGAAAACTTTTTTTTTTCAATTTGGTATTTTTAAATTATTTCTAAAAATAAGATTTTTCAAAATATTTCAGTTTTAAGACTCTTTAACACGAGGAATAAAAAGTTACAAACGATAAATATTATTGAATGATTCTTTATATGAACTGAACGCTCCGGTATAATGATAATCACGATCCCGACTTAATTTTCGTGCAGGAGAAGTAACTCGTGTATATCAATGGTCACGGTCCGCTTGCGCATGGATTTGGCGAGCTCAAATATGAAAAAAAATATATATAGGTTTTTTAACCAGACAAATGCTACATTGTATAAATTTATCTCGAATAAAAGTAAAGAAAATATATTTTTATTTTAATTCAAAGTCAGCAATACATTTCTTTCAAAACTTTTCAAGTATTTTCAATATATATTTATACAGCCAAAAAAAATATTTCCGTGCCTCATTGGAAATTTTTGGTTAAACAATCTCAATTTTTTGCAATTTTGAAGTAATCTTAAATATAACTTCCCGTAATGATAATATGTAATGACATTTTCTAGATATACTACAGTTTGTTTAACGGAGAGAGGGGGGGGGGGGGCAGAGAGAGGGAGAGATCACTATTTAATTTTTCAAAAATTAAATGTGTCGCAACCCTCCCATTTCCCCAAAAATCACGCTTTACAGCATTTTTGAATCTATGGAAATTTCATTCGGATTTCCTCCACTCAATATTTAACTGAATAACTTAAATAGATTTATACCATATTTGAATAAAATAAATAAATCGCTGATTATTCGATATGGTTTTTTTTCTGATTTGAAAGTCCTGAAAAATGCCAAAACATATTCAGAGGCGGATCCAGCAATTTTTGAAAGGGGTCCAGGGCAGTCCCCCCCCCCCACACACACACACACTCTCTCTCTCTCTCCCTCACATAGATTCACACACACGGACAGATCTTAGGTCATGGTTAATAATTTCTTCGTTTTACGCCCCATAATTCTTTGAAGAGGTACCCTCCAGTCCCAATAAAAAAACAAGCACATTCCAAAAACTACCGAAGTCTTAAAATTGAATGCATATGCAGCTTTTCCAAAGAATACAAAGATTTTTTGTTTAAATTTGTGTAAACTTTTTTTGGGGTCCGAAAATGGTACATACATATGATCATGTATATGTATATAGCCAAAGATCGCCAGAATCTGATATCAAATTAAACTTCGCATGTTACATATAATGTACTTATTATACAGGTAAACTTCGGTATCTCGACATCGGATATGTCGACAACCTGGGATATGTCGACGTCCGTCCGCGGTCCCGGCAGTATTTACTATATAAATGATTTGCAGAAACTCTGATATGTCGACTTCGGTAATCTCGACAACCCTGGTTATCTCGACGTATATTCACAGTCCCAAAAGCAAAATTTACCTGGTATATGTCGACATCGGCAATTTTCTGCTCCACTGAACCTAACTGTTTGTCAGATAGGGTCGCTCGTCACGCACGGACGGCTCCGGGTATCTCGACGTCGTCAAAAATTCACATCTTTCACACCCATGTTATGACTGCACGCTGCTTAATTAATTCTATAGACTGTGTTTGTAGGTGAATCCAAAGTCCCCTCGGCGTCTTTGAAACGTTAATTGCTTAATGTTCAGTTTGGGTAATATCACTGATAAATCTACACGATTCTGCTTAAATTTACAGGTGTTTATTTATGTCGAAACCTAACATAACTTTTAAAATTGAAAAAGATAACTAAATTACAAAGAATAATAAACATATTGAATAAATTCAAACTAAAGAATTAAACGATGTTCTAATAATATTTTGTAGTTAAAATACATTCAACAGGAAATAATCCGATTAACGACACGATTAACCGAATCATCCGTAATTCATGCATCTGTAATATCACTACGTTAGTTTAGATACACAGAACTCTTAAAAAATTAATATTAATGCACATTCTTCCTGAATGAAATAAGAAAAAAAATAATAATTACGCATTTAATATGTTTTAGTATCTCGGATGTCGGCTTTATCATGTTTATACGGTTCGGTTCGAAGTTTATAGAGCGCATTTCGTATCCTGTTCTGACAAAAAAGCAAGTTACACGCGAATGCTGGATGGAAAACTACAAAAATTTAGAACGATTTCGATAAAGAGAAAGAACAGGCTTTATAAATAAGATTTTTAAAAATAACTTCTTAGATTTTTAATAAAAATAGAGGGATTGCTGAAATAAGTTGATCTACAGCCTATATTGAAGTCATGTACGTATAATAAGCTTATACACATGTATGTGTTTGGTTATGCAGTGAAATCTTGGACGTCAAGTCTCAACTCTGATATCTCGACACCTCGGATATCTCGACATTTTCCGATGGTCCCGTCGATGTCGAGATAACGAAGTTTACCTGTATATTGAAATATATAGATAGAGTATTTCCTGCTATTCACTCATAAATAAAAACGCTGAAAGTGAGGGGTAGTGAAGGTAAATGGGCAAGGAAATACACATGTATGTGGGACTCTGTTTATAGCAAGTGAAATATGAGCAACGATCAAGCTGTTTTGAACTACGTTTATATTCAAAACGTATAAGCAAGATCGACGTCCAGATAGTTATCTATTCCAGTAAACGTTTTATCCCCCTCCCTTCTCCCCTCTCTCTCTCGGCAAAAAATAAAGAAGGGAGGGTCCAACTCCCGGAACTGGATTTCTCCAATAACATTTTTCAACACTTTCCTTGAATAAAAGGAAATATTTTTAGCTATTTAAGGAAAGTAACCAGTAACAAAAAATAAAATAAAATAAAAAACCTCATGAAGTTTATATGCATATATGAAAGAGTTTTGCAATTTTTCATGAATTTTAACAACAAGAATTAAGCTTACAAGGATAAAGGATGTTAGATTGCCCTCTATGTTTGAAATGAACAGTAATCTTTGGTATAAATTTTTATTACAATTTTGGTACAACACTTATATACTAGAGTCACAATTAAACAGGAAGTTATTTTTAAGTTCAGTAGAGCGTGGGTGGACTAATTATATAATATCCAGGTCGTAAATTGAGTGTTTACCTGTATTTACCTGTAGTTACCTTACACGATGTAAAAGAATCATGTCAGATACACTGAATATTCGCCATGTCAAAGTCTGATCTGTGAATTGCTGAGAGATTATAAATTTTGTGTCCATTCAAATTCTTCTAAACCAGGTATTTAGTCCTTTACGATGCATTTTTAAAATCACTATTTTTAATTCTGTTAAAGAGTTAAATCCTAGATAGTTTTTTTTCTGCAATAACTATATATAATCAGACTCATTTACATTTACATGTATAACTATATATGGTCCGTAAAGTCTGCCTATACTTAATTCGATAGTAAAGAAAATATACAACTATTTTTTTTTAAGTAAATGCCCATGAGCATTATAAACTCTTAAATATAAATCTCAGATCTCAATACCTGGAAAAATGCAAATAAAGTCAACTGAGATATTACACCTTTAATTTAATTATTTTCACGACGTAATTTCCTGGATTTTTCCACTCTTTCAAACATATGTATAACCACGTGTTTTCAATGTTTCTAAACATCCTACATGTACATGTATATGTGTACCTCAAAAAGTTGTCACTATGCCCTGGAAGAATTAAATCTATTAGATTTTCAAAAACATTCACCAATTTTATAAATACTGTACATGCATAAACTGTCATAATCATCGATTCCAACTACAGGCATTTGATGTTTTAAACTATTCTCTTCATTGATAAAAATATTATTATCAATCAAAACGTCTAGTGCCTGTGGTTCCAACAATGTAAAAAATAGAATGGGAAAAATTACCCCCCGCCCCTCCCCGATAAAAAAAAAATCAAGTTTACCGCACCGGCTACCGGCGTGATACCTTAAAAATGAAAAAAAAAATTGAGACCACGATCGACAACTCTCCGTTTATATGTTGATTAATAAAATGTGTACGCATTTTACTGAAATAAATCTGGTAATGAAAAGAATTAAACCTGCAGTTTCATAAAAGATATTTTAGTCTAGCCCTCCAACTTCGAATATTGGCAAAATATTTACACGATCGTACACTTGTAAGTGGAGGCCATTAATTTTTGTTTTCAACATTGCCTCGACGACAAAAGTCATGATAGTTATACAACACTTATATGTAATATGTTAAAATTCTGAGTAAGTATACAGCTTTGAATTAAAAAAAACCACTTTGATATTTAACCAAGGCTCTTAATTGAATGATGCACCACTTTAACAAAAAATAAAACCAATGACTTCCAAAATTCCTAAGTTCATTTTTATGGCTATTTTTTCTTAATTTAATTCCTTTATTTTTTTCTCGATTCTCAGATAAGTCTTCTTTTTCTTACTAGTCAAATATTTTTAATTTTAATGAATTAAGTTCAGGTAGTTTTCTAGTTTGCGGAAAGAATAGGGGCATTATGTCATCCATAAAAAGATAATTTCGGGTAGTCAGATGCTCAGGTTCTGAAACTCAGGAGTTGAGTGATCGAAAATGCACACAAACATATGTCTCTGAATTCTCAAAGTAAAGTGTATTTATCCACGGCAATTCTACAAAGTTCATCATGAGAGTTAATCATATTATACAGGGAAAATAATTAAATCTCAATTATATCTTCATGAAATGCTAATAACAACTTCCGCTATGCATTTTCCTATTGAAAGTTGATCAACAAATTCATTTCACGCGTTTGGAGAAAATTGCATGTTTTTAGTACCCATCCGGTTCTTCTTTTTACTTCGATTGTTATGTAGTACATACTGTTAAAAGCTTTAAAATTTGTAAAAACATAAAAATCACTTCTAATTGCATATCATGCTAATCAACATTGGTATCTAAGGTTATAAATAAAAGAATTTTTTTTCTCTGAAAATGTATTTTTTTTCTTTTATGGCCGGGATACAAATGTCAACTTTTTACAAGACCGTTTTTAAGACTTCAAAGATCCTTAAATCACATTGAGATGCATAAAAGGAAAATTGTTGCACGAAAAGATGTCAAATTCAAGCTTTATTTTGAGCTTTTTAAATAAAATAATAAATTTAAGAGTTATCCTTCTTGGCTAAGAGAGGATATATTTTTAACTTACACTTTCTAAAGAAAGTTTGGGAATAGTGTTGATATATATAAGATCCGTTGGTCCGTCTGTCTGTCACACTATCTTTCTCAAATTCTTCTCAGTTTTAAAAGTAGCCAATTCATCTTCAATAGTTTGATTGATAGTGTCTTTTTGATGTGCAATGTCGACGGAAACTGTCTTTTTATTTCTGGGGAAAAAATGAAGGTTAAAAATGACTTCTTTTTTTGAAAAATCGTTTCAGAACTCTTACATTTTATACAACCATCATCTTTCGGAATATAATCGTCGGTTTTCTGTAGTTGTGTAATAAGGCGGTTTCATAAAATTAATTTTTAGCTTGGGATACAATACATTATCCAAAATCGACGTTTTTTCTTCAAAACCTGGTTCTCTTGATTCCTCTTTTACTTTATGCAGTGGCCAAATTATATTTTGAAATATTATTTAGTAAGGACAAAATACATGCTGACTAAGAACAGCCCCTGGGGCTGGTTTCTAGGTCGTTTGTGGGAAACAAAAGCCCTAGAATTGTCCCAGAGCAATCCAAGAGAAGAAGCAAAATAAAAATGAAGTCCGACAAGATTTAATTCTTAGACTGTTTTGGTTATATCTGGATAATACCCCCCCCCCCCCATATTCCATACGTCAGTATATTGCATGTCGTTAAATGAAATGAAATCTACACTATTCATTACAGTATGGTAGGACGCCATTCTACAACCAGAAGACAGGCGGATCTCCTTATTTTGGTTTTACTTGTCTCTCAGATACTACCAGTCACTTACACACAGAGTTCCGTGATACAGACACTGCTGGTCACTGCTGCAATCTCCCAGTTCACATCCAACGCAGGTAAGGGACGCAGATCAGTTTCCCTCACTTCTTCATTTCTTCGAGTACATGGAACAAAGATTAAAAAAAAAAAAATCATAGCAAGGTCTTTGCACGTACATGTAAAACTATTAAATTCAGATAACATTTTCCATAGGATCACAACCCGATGATAAATGTAGATTAACTCACCTATCTGTATAATGGGATGTTTATTAATCACACAGAATGTTTACATATTATTTTATATCAATATTTTAAAATTATTAATTTCTATTACATGTACTAGGATTTACAGAGCTATCCATTCCCCAGCTCTTAGCCGTTGCATTTGTCACGGCAGTCATCAACCAACCTCAAACTCCCCAAACTCAGCCTGTTCTAGGTCCTCCACCCACACCGCCGTTCTACTGTGACGCTTACCCAACCTACACTTATGACGCGTCCGTTCACGTCTGCTATCGAACTGTCAAGGAGCCGCGTCTTAGCGTCACTAACGCAGACGCTGCGTGTAAAGCGGACGGACCTGACGCTCAACTGATACGCATCAGCAATCCTGCAGTATACAGCTTTGTTGTGTCGCAGATTGGTATGTTGTTTTTACTGATTCATCAAGAAAGCTTTCAAAAAGAAAAGAAAAGTACTAAATTCTTAATTTGCTTTCTGAAATTTTTTTTTTACACGTCACCTTATCCTCTCAGGGATAATGCCCCTTTTTGGTACTTTTCCAGGGACCTAGTCCGTTTAAATTGGAAAAATTAAATAAACTTTGGGGAAAATTGGAAAAAAAAAGATATACAAATAAATCAAAAATCAATATATTTTTGAATTTTGGTAATTATTTTTTTTTTAATACAAAGGAACAAGAATAACAAGTTTAATTTTCAATATATTTACGAGTAATTTGATCTTAAGCATTCGGCTTTCCAGGCACGTAGTTTATAGGGGGAGGGGGGGGGGCAGTGGGAGTTTCCAAACATTACTTTTCTATTGAAAACGGTCATTGAAAGGCTGGAAAAAAGACTTGAAAAAAGAGAAGAGGCACGATAAAAACCTCTTCTTTAAGACTTCTGACAATTTAACCGAAAATGTTCGTATACATGCATATGTAAACACATATGTATGAAGTATACATAATTATGATTCGATATGCTATAGTTAATTTTCAATACATTTATAAGATATTGAAAAAAAAATATTTTAGGGTTACAATTTGTTTTTCTCTTTATTTTCCTTGTTTTGTTCGTAATTTGATTTTTGGACATTCACTTGAGATCATTTTTTAAATATTTCAGATCAGTTCGGCATCAGCAACATGTATTTCCAGGGAAGCAGGGCCAATAGCTGGTCCCCCTTCCTGTACGATGACGGCACTCCAGTAACGTATTTTAACTGGGACACGGGAGAGCCGGGTTCTAACAATTACCTCAGGACCGACACCTCAACGAGGCTGATGGAGACTTCCTCAGGATCCTCTTCACGCTCTTACATCTGCGCAGTCTATCCCTGAACATGTATCTATGACATTGTTATGAAAAACCTTCACTTATTTATGTGTTTATGTTATTTTTTTCTCTCAAAATTGAAATGTATGATTAAAAGAAAGGTTTTGTGAATTCAGAGTGAAGATTCCTTTGGATTTAACTCGAATTCACACAGTTACTATAAGTTCTCTTGAACTTACATTTACAGCTTTATGCACTCTACAGGTAAAATTTTTTGACGTTCATGTTTTTTTTTTTTCATTTTGATGGCCATTGTCTTGATGTAAAAAAAAAAAACAACAACAAAAACAACCAAAAAAAAAAAAAAAAAAAAAAATTGCCTTCTGTACTTCGATGCTTTCATTTGTACCTTGGTAAAAGACACAGATTTCAAACACAAAACTCTCGTCTGTCAGAATTGAAAGCAGGTAGAAACTGATTAACATGGAACATCAGGACTGTCTTATACATTCATCATTAGATGTGGTGGTTTAAACATAACATATGATCGTTCATTTTATATGAAGTTAACATAATAACTTATACTGAAACATCCCGTTAAGCAATATTGACATTTTCACGAGAACCATTTTTTTATTTCTTATTTTTCTGTCAATTTTTTCTGCTGGTGATAGGTTTGTGTTTCTTCTTAAAATGGCAAGTGTGCAAAAATCCATTTTTGAGGTTATTTCATACGTTGTCTAAGCGAGAAAACGTTAAAAGTTGATTGCATAACAAATTTGACCAGACATCTAATTTTTGGTATGTTTTCTTAAAAAAATGTTTAACTTTTTTCTATTCTTCAAATATAAAATTCTATTTATTAGAACATTTTAAAAACAAGATTTTATCTGTAACAAGAGTTCCTTTTAAAACAAAGTAGGGCTCACATCTATGACACACTTCGCGTAACAGTAGCATAATGCATACATGTATCACTTATTTGTATCATGGTAACAAAACCGACTAGACATTAAAATCACTCGACTAATTTCCCTGAATACTTGCTTTTAACTTTTTATAGAGACATTTGTCTTTTTCTCTATTTGAACTTTTCATTTAGCACTTACATTTTACCGAAAGAACTTGTTATATGGTAAATTTTTTTTTTACCGAACATTCCATTTTTTCTTGTTACTTGTCAAAATCACAGCATATCACAGAATGCTCCATTTTTAAGAACATTCGGCTTCGGCCAATATTGGTAATTTATTAATAAATTTTATATCGCAAAACGTTGTAGAAGCTATGTGCAAATTGTTGGAAAAATCATGCAGACCAACCGTAAAATGACTAAAACTACTAGCACCCGTCTTTTAGTGTTACAAGTCCGTTATTTTCCGATCATAACAAAGAGCACGCGTCGGGTGTTACCGGTCGACAGGGGATCCTCACTCCTACATGGCATCTGATCCCACTTCTGATGTTTTAGAGGTCCATGTTTATGCTGCTCCTGATTTGTATTGTTTAATGGACTTTTGAGCTTGAATACTGTTCCTCATCTCCATATATTTCATGTTCAATTTAAAACATTTTTTGTAAGTTATAGATTAACTTTTGTGTCTTCTTCGCTGTCCAGGTACAAGGGAGCTAGCATACATTGTACATTGAAGAGGCAAATACTTACTCAGACGCGGATCCAGGATTTTTTTTCCGGGGGGGGGGGGTTCCACCCCAGTCAAAATAAATTTGTAACCAAAAAAAATTCTTGACAAGCGGAAAAAAAAAAAGAAAAACGTATAATTTATTTTCAAAACGTGAAAAACACCTATTTCATGGTGGTCTAACCAGTTAGAATTTGGTTATCTATACTACTATATTAAAACAAGCATTCTGAGAGTATTGCATTAGCAATACTAGTCCCCTACCGGCAAGTGTAATCTGGTTCCCGTTAAAAATTGAAAATGCCATAATTCCGTCAAAAATCAATGAAGCGGGACGAAATGCAAACTTGATCTATAACTAATCAAGGTAAAGTCACATACCAAAAATCAGCTCAATATCTGAAAGCGTTTAGAAGAAACTTGCGGAAAACCCTTAAAAATTGAAAAGGCCGTAATTCCCTCAAAAATCAATGAAGCGGAACGAAATGGAAACTTGATCTGTAACTCATCAAGATACACTTACATACCAAAAATCAGCTCAATATCTGCAAGCGTTTAGAAGAAAAGTGCGGAAAACCAAGTGGGACAGACTGACAGACAGACAGAGGGACAGACGGACAGACAGACAGACAGACAGACGGACGGACAGACTCAGAGGAAACCTATAGTCCCCTCCGGTTCCACCGGTAGGGGACTAACAATAGACTCGAATTTTTGGCCTTTAATACCGATAAATCGGATGAGTACTGTCGTTTGTTTTATATATTTTAAACATCATTGGTACTTGAAGATTACCAATTTGTTTTTATTTTTTCTCTATTAAGCTTTGCTAATTAATAATCAACGAAAATTCCTCAAAAAATTCCGGAAATCATCTGGATTTTTTGGATTTTACAATCTTGCGCGTGCGTATTACATTCACGCTAAATTACGGTGTTCAAATCAGTACTAAGTAGATATATATTTGTTATTTTATAATTTTCTCTAATAAGAAATCATAAATGTATATGAACAAAATATGTAGCAAATTTCCAATGAAAATTTACACGTATTTGTATTAATGTTTCTGAGTTTATCCATGAAAGTGTGATATTGTGGCCACGTGGGTAATCATTCGCCATCTCGGAGACACATTTATTATATGTTATTTATGTCTCTGGTCATCTCAACGGAGGCAAAAAGCTCATGATCGTAGGAGCAATATTAATGTAACTACCCGATTTTATTTTATCCTTCCTTTCTTTTATGTTTTTTTTTAAGGGTAAATGGGGGGGGGGGGGGGGTTTACAACTCCAGCTAGAATCACATCTTAGTGAAGTAGGTATTCTTTTTCCGCCAAAAATTACAATAACATTATTTTCATTTCTTAACTTTGAAATAAATCGAAATAATTAAATAACGTCAATACAACCGATATTTTCAATTTGAAATGTGTCTAAATGATTGCAACTTGAATTTGTTCGCCATGTTTACTATTACCTTCACTGCTGAGATTTATAACTTCACCTCCAAAAATTTCTTTAACTTTAAAAAAAAAATGGGTGAAATATGTAAATTATTGTTATTGAACTTCGGTACGTTATATAGAAGGGACAGCCTGTTCTTCTAAATATGTAAAGGTTGTCGTGGTAACTACGCTTGATCAGTATATTTTGCATTTTAAATACGCTTAAAATGTGTTTCCTTTTTTTTTTTTTTTGAATTAAACGAAAATATTAAAGAAACATGAAAGTCCTTTTTTATTTGTTTAAATAGAGAAAATCATAAGAAATAAAACAAAACAACAAGAAATATTCAGTAATAGTGGAGAGCAAAAAGTGCTAACTTTGAAAATAAATTGCAAAATATCTAGACATAGAATCTCAAATCGCCACATACAATCGATAGTTTAATGTTTGAACTTTTATTTGCATGTACTCTGGTGCTTGCACTTTTTGATTAAAGGTAGGCACGAGGTGTTTGAAAATTACCTGTGTTATCCTCTGAAATCGGAGGATAAACTATCCCACAATGCAACGCGGTTTCCATATATGATAAAAATTTTGGCCGGCATATTGAATTAACCTATCCTTCAAAAACGGAGGCCGCCCAGACCTGTTGATAGGTAGTCTGAAGTCAGCCCTTGCGGCCCGTACAGTTCATTCTATCAATGCTGCTAAAATATCGATTGTTTGTAAAATTTAATCCATGCATAGTAAATCTCAAAACTATGAGGTGGGACAAAATTAAGATCGTAAAAATATTTATTCAATGATGAAATGAATTATATTTAATCGTAGCAAACAAACTTATGTTTTATTAAATCGCCACAAGAAAAAAATACACCAGCATGAAAACAAGTTGTCTTCTTCAGCAGCCATGACAGTTCTCATGTGATGTAATGACTTTTGGTTGAAAACGTTTAATACTGCAGTAGATTAATTTATTTATTGTTATCACTAAACAGATGTATAAATGTTTATGAGGTATTTATTTTATTTTTGCTGCATTATTTACGTATGAAGTAAGAAAAATACCCATATTCTGTTCAAGATCCGCTCCCAAATTCTCATTGGCTGTCCCAAAATAAAATCGGTAAAGGTCAGTAAACTTTTTTAAAGTTTGTGGTAAACTCAGACTTTACTAAATATTTTTGAAAAATTTATGCTCTGAATAATAACATTAGAAACATTTATTTTAAAATGTTCCTGATTACATTGTATGATTTCAATTAAAAAATGAAAATGATATTGTATGATCCAAAAAGAGTTGTACCCCACCCCCAGGAAAAGGCTTCATTATTGCAGCAAGAAGTACCTTCAAATTCCTACTTTCCTACTTAGGATACCCTTGCTTGGCTTATCTAAGATAATGATTATTCATGTTTCCCATATATTTTATACTTAGTATAAACAAGAGGCCCATGGGCCACACCGCTCACCTGAGCAACTATGGTCAATTACTCCAACCCAAACAGCTATAACAAATCAGAAATATCTGTACAAATTTAGTTTTTTATATTAAGTTTTTGATACATATTCTAACTTTGAGATTTTTCTCCAAAGATTTTCATATGTAAAATTTACAGTAAATATTCTGTTCCCCCCTCTCCCATTGTGGTTGTACCCTATCATGACCCCCTGTGATCGTCATCATCAAATTTGAATGTACATTTATATGAATTTACATTTCAGAAAACCTCTCTGGTCAAGTAGTTTTGGAAAAGAAAATTCATAAAAAAAAATTTCCTATAAATACTCCCATGGATACCCCTCCCCCATTGTGGCCCCCACCGTACCCCCAGGGGTCATGATAAGATTTAAAGGAAATTGAGAATGCTTCCACATAAGTTTCAACATTCCTGGCCAAAAGGTTCTTGAGAAGAAGATTTTTAAAGATTTTCCCTATATATTACTATGTAAAATTTCAACCCCCCATTGAGGCCCCACCCTATCCCTGGGGGTCATGATT